GGGGCGAACCTCTCCAGCAAGGCTCAGATTCACTGCTTGGTTTGCAGCAATCAACATGGATCTGCATACAGCTAACAAGTTTAGTACTGTTTTTCCCTACTTGCTTCGTGGCACCTATTAACTCCTGTCTCCCTTATCCAGAGTATCCCTACTTTTTGTTAGCCAAGTAAAGGTGGCCTGACACAGAGAGGGGTTGTGATTTTCAGAGCAAGTGAACTGTAGTTAGCATCATGTGCCTGCATTGTAGTCAGGCTTGGCAAAGGAAAACTGTGGTTATTTCTGTTCAGGATATTCATCCTCATTCTTCGAAAGCGTAACGAAGTCCGATAGCTAAAATGGTCAAAACTTATATACTCACTCTTTGCCTTCTTTCTGCAGCCTCAAGACCTGCATTTACTTACTGTAGGGATTTTTTTTTTTTATGTTGTATGGTTTTGAAGCCTTGCTTATAATTCCTTGTTACTTGCCTGGACTGTTTCCAATCCCTATTTATTAGTGCATCTCATATGTAACTTGAATTCCGTGGCTCTGGCATTTCTTGAAAATACTTGGTGCTTTCAGCTATCCCAGCTGTTTTTAATAATTTCCTTTTTCACAGCTGTACCAATATCTTTATGCTCTCTGGTTTCTGGACTTGGACTAGACAGTAATAATACATGAAATTAGGAGTCACCAAAAACGTAGATGAATTCCAGCCCCACCAAAAGTTTAAGATGACTGCAGAAACAATTTTCCATAGTGATGCTTGTAGCAGCACCTGAAGAACAAAAACTCTCTTAAGGTTGAAAGGTGTTTTCAGATACAAATGAAAATGAACAACATGACTAAAAGCTGGAAAAAAATTAAATAACATTTGGAAAGAAAACACTGTATTCTTCTGTGTAATGACCGTGATCATGGTGCTGTATGTCACACTGCTGTCCGTTTATACCATTGTTGCGGGAAGTTTTCTGCAGCAGAGCAATGGTGTCAGCAAACTCGCATCTTTCCAGTATCATCATCTCTTGACGTGTGCAACCTTTCATAATCATGTAGGTTGGAGGGGACCCATGGAGGTCACTTATCTGACCTCCTGCTCAGAGCAGGCCCAGTTCGAGCAAGCTGCTCAAGGTTGTATCCAGCCGAATCCTGAGTATCTCCAAGGACAGAGATTCCACAGTTTTGCTGGGCAGTTTGTTCCAGTGTTTGACCACCTTCATGGTGAAACTTTTTCCTTATTTTAAGTTAGAATTCGGTGTGTTCTGTCTTGTGCCTGTGGCCTCTCGCCCCTTCCTATGTGTGCCTTTGAAAGTAGTTTGACTCTGTCTTCTCTACATCCTTGCATTAGATAGTTGTAAACAGCCGAAAGATGGGGCTTATTAAGCTGGTTTTCTCACAAACCCAGTTCACTCAGGCTCTCTTTCTATGTTACAGTCTCCACATGCTGACTGCTGATCCCACCCCAGCGTGCCAGTGTTTTTGTTGTACAAGGAGCCTAAAACTGGACAGCATTCCAGCCATGGTCCTAGAGGTGCTTGAAAAGATACACTGGGAAACTCCGACTCCTTGCTAAAGTCAAGGCACGTGACATCCACCACTCTCCCCTCCTCCACCAGAGCCAGTCATCTCATTGTAGAGGTTAACCAGGTTAGGCAGGCATGACAATGCATGGTAAATCCCTTGGTAAATCCATGCTGCCTGTTCCCGTTCAACATCTTGTCTTTCATGGCATCTAGGAGGACTTTCTCTGTGATCCATCCAGGTACTGAGGCAAGGCCAGTAAGTCCTCAGCCCTTTTTCTTGCCATTTTGAAAATGGATATGATGTTCAATTTGCTTTCCAGGCATCTCCCCAAATTGCCATGACAATCAGAAGTATGCCCAGATGGTTTAAATACTTCCCAATTTAATCATTCTTTACTGTGAGTAGTACTATATACCCCCAGACGACCGGTGGTGCTTAAGCTTCTGCACATTGAAATGGGCTATTCATGTGTTTCAAAGAGGTACATGTCCTTAAGATCAGTCAGCTATTCTGAACATCTTCTGAAAATCGTGTTAGGAATATGACACGTGCAGTGAAATAATATGTTCTTTAGAAAGAAAATCTTAACATTAAATCCTAAAAATGGATACATTTGCAGTTGAACTCAAGTACAGGCATTAGAATTCTTGTAGCACACATCAGCTACATCCAGTTCAAATAAATATTCCTACAGTACATTTTCTTCTACCGGTTTCTTACTTTAATATCTACATGGTATTACATCATTTCCATTTCAGTAGACTTTAACTGTAATTCTTAAACATGAAATATAAATTAGTATGTAGTACTGCAAGCATTGCACAAGAGTATCTACCTTGAAGCAAGTACTATGTGAATGGATTTGACATCGGGTACCAGTGAGACCTGAGTCTGAACATACATTTGTGGCTTAATTTAACACCCCAAAAAAAAAAAAAAGAATGATTTTAGTGGAAATTTGGACTTTTCAGAGTGTTCTCAGCCACTGAAAAATATGAAACTCAGTCACAGACTTTTCTGGCACAATTGGTTTCTTTATGAAACTTCCAGTTCCTTAAGCAGCAACTGAAGTGAACGGCATCCAGGGAATTGTTTGAATGGAAATTAGAGAGGAAATGCCACAAGACCTGTCAGTCACCAGCCCCTCTGATTCTTTTTGAGCAGCCACTGTTCTGTTTACTCACTCCCAGTCCTTACCAAGCTGAGAGTCTTTGTAGACACTCAGTTCTCACTAGGAACCAAAATCTAGGTTGTATTGCTAAGTAAAAGTGGGCCAGGGCTGAGTTTGAGAACTGGACTGCTTTTGTTCATGCACTTCAATTGCTCTAAACTCTCTGGCATGTTTTTTGTGTATAACACCAGGAGTTCTCTGGGACCAGCCTCTCTTCTGGTCTGTTTTGGGTGATACCAAATGCCAGGAACTGCTTGCAGTAGATGGTGTAGGCAAAAGTCCACCTTGGTTTCCTCCCAACCTCTTCAGCCTTCGTGTCCCACAGCAAGGCAGGGAAAGGAAACCTTCATTTTCATACTGTGAAAATACTGCTCTAGTAGCTGTGGTATTATCCTCACAGGCAGTTAGGACTGGGAAAAAAAAAAGCAAGCACAAACAACACAAAGAACATCTTATGGACACAGAGATACTATGGAGAACATAGAGCTGGGTATAGCCAAGGGGATCCTACAGCCAAATATAAATTTTGTTGTCTGGGAAGAAAGATTGTGAGCTATATTTGCAAAATGAGAATGCCTCTTCACCGTGACTCTGACTTTTTTTTTTTTAATGTATTTTATTTTAGGAGACACTAGTTTGCAGGAGAGTCTGGGGAACATGTACTGTAAGGTCAGTGCCTTAGGTACCTGTCTCCTGAGTTGGTGATTACACTTTGTCCACGTAAATAGGCCTGTTGTTTCATATAGATAGGCTATTATTTGCTTCTTGTCAAACCACTGAATAATTGAGTCATAGATGTGTATACAGGCCAAATCCTGTGTTCTTATCTCTTTCACACACACCCACAAGTGAATTAAGGAGGACCAGTGTTAAAACAGTGAAGTCAAGCATAGAAGCATAGAAAATTCTGGAGCGAAGGCTGCCTGAGCCTTATGGCTCTGGAAGCTACAGCAAAGCAATGACCGGTGCTGTATGTTGCAGCACCCCGTGTCAGGCGCAGAAGGGACAGAGGCCGTAAGCAGCTCTTTTGGCCTCTTGCTTCAGTATGTGCCTGGTGGCTTTAAACTCCACTCAGGAGACAGGTACCAGTTTCCTCTTGGTCTCTCCTGCAGAGCTTATCAGAGCAGAAAATTTTTGTGAATGAGCTGTTTTGTGGAGTGCTCTGCTCATCTTCCAGCACAGAGTTACATTCTCTTGCAACTTGGCCAGGAAATTTCACAGGTGCTTGATAGCAAAGAGGTTAGAATCAGAAATCTGGGCCCCAGCCTCCAAGTGTGTGTTTTGTGGTTGGGATTCTCCGTAGAAGTGCTTGGGTTTGATTCCCTTGTCCCAATTTCTCCAGTCTGTCCCGGTCCCTTTACCACTCTGGTCCCCTGTCTCAAAGCGGCTCCTCGGACATGTTCCCAGAGTTGTCTCCCCACTGCAGCCCCCCTCCCTCTGCCCCAGGCTAGTGCCAAAATTCACTTCTGGCACCAGTAGCTTCCTCGCTGCTCATTCAATCCGTGTTTCCTCAGTCAGCTTTCTGCGTTGCTTCTGCTCCTGGTCTTACCCAAGGCCGTTTCCAGGAGCATGACCTGAACAGCTCCTTTTTTTTGTCTTCTGTGGTTGTGTTGGAGCCCCTCTGTCTGTATGCTGGAGAAGAGGCCTCTCTGAAAGCAGCAAAAGAGAAGCCACTTGCTCTTTTTTTCATAGGGCGAGTCTGGCTTCATTTGTAAACTTGGCCTGGGAAGGAATGTGCTCAGTTGCCTGTGGAAAAGTGGCGTGCCTGCCATCTGGTCAGCAGTGACTGTAGAGACTTAGCCATCCAACTTAGAGGTAGATACGGCCTTAAAAACTTAAAGCTCAAAGGCTTATAAGCCTTAATCTATCCTTGTAGACTCAAATATTCGTCTTAGAAAAATCCCCTGGTGGTTAAATTTCCTATCTGGGCATTTCACTTTGTGATTGAGCTATGCTGTGGCTGAAGTTTTGGGAAAAGATCTGCTGAGGAAGACATGTATCACTGAAATTTTTGCCTTTCCTAATCAAAAGTTACTGAGAAGTTACTGAAAAAATGTTACTGAAAAATGTATTTTTTAGTTTAAAAAGCTTGAGCAGATACAATGATAGGAAACACTGGAATGTGTTTGTCATGGGTTTAAATGAGAATTCTGTGTTACGTGACGAAAGGTCTTCAGGTTGGTAAACTTTGCCGTAATGTGGTATGGAAGATGTTACAATATAGTAATTTTATGTGTGACAAGAGAGGGGTATTCTAGTATCTAACTGCAGATTTGTATTTTAAAGATGCTTGTTTTAACTGATTTTTTTTTAATTTTATTTAAGTGCCTGAAGAAAATAAAAAAGCATGGATGGTCATAAGTAGTAAGTATCTTGATCATTTCTCATTCTAAAGACCGAACAGTGTTAGGTGTTTTGATTTATACAAATCCCATAGCCTGGGTCTATCGTACATTATGTCCTGGCATCAGATATTTTTATGAAGTCACTGGTAGCCATGCTGTTTAGAAAGTATAAAAAAAAAAGTGTAAACCTGCCAAGTTATCATCGAAGAATGGAAAAACAAGTGAATTCACTAGATGGGAAAATAGCATATGTTATCAGTTTCCTGTTTAATAAAAAGAACTGGGTGGACAATGCCTTATTTAAAAGTATATATATATGGTCTTCAACATTAGAGTAAAGCAAATTCTTCTTTTAGTTATGCTTTATTATATTTTTGATTGTTTAACAACACTTACATGTATCCATGGCTGCTTGACCAAATACCCATTTTAAAAGCTATTGACTAGTGTCTAGCAGTAAAAATTGTTCCCTGCATATTTTAACAACATGACGATTAAATTATTCATCATCTTGCTCATAAACAGGAGCCAGGAATTTCCCCAAATTAGAAGCTGAATTTGTCTATTGTGATAAAGGATTATATTCCTCTTATACTTCCAATTGGTTTATTAGTCTCCAATTCAAGAATCTGTATTAATCCAAGGACAGTTTTGTAACATCATATTAATAACTCTTTTTTTTTTTTATTTACTTTCACCAAGCGCTTGGAATTTTTAGTGACCTCTACTGAGGTAGATTTTAAGGATGGTTGACAGCAAATGAATTAAGGTGTTTTCTTCATTTGACCACTGAACTGCGATACCGGTTATTTGCACAGCTGTATCACAAGCTGGAAAGCACACAGCTAGCTAATAAGCTACAGTCTTGACTCCACCTTGTGCTGCTTCATTCTGACTTTTTTTAGAGTAATGCTGGTCTTATTGGAGTTAAACACTGATATGTTCTGTTTTCTCATAACACCAGGGGGATCTGACAGGGATGTAAATCTTATAATAATAAGTGGTAGATTCTGTTTTACAGAGGCAACAGTGTATGTTTAGTTCAGTATGTGCCTCACCTGACTTGAGCAGCCATCCGTTGCCAGAGGATGTGTAATGGTTTGTGCAGAATGGCACGTTAAATGGGATGCGTTCTGCATGTTACGCATTTTGTGTTGTAGTATAAACAACCCCCCTCTATTTCAATGTTGATGAAGTTTGTAAAATTAAAACTTTAATAATGATTTGTAACATAAATTTAAATGGGTGCATATCTTGGCTTTTGAAGCTTGAGGAGAAGCCAAGAAGTGCTTTAGATGATGCGTAAGTTCTAGATCATTTGTCCTTGCTGATGTCCATTTCAATATCTTATCTCTGTGGGGATTCAGCCACTGTCTCTAATTTAAAAATAACAAACACAAATAACAGATCACTGTCCAACACATTTCCCGTGAGGTTAAACCCTGTCACGACTAAGTCTGTAGAGCAGAGGTGCCACCTCACCAATGGCTTCTTTCAGAAGGGGCACAGCCTTTCATGGCTTCACATGAGGACTTCACGGAGGAAGCCTCTCCGAACTCTGCTTTATGAACAGGGCATCTAGGCACTGAGGCACCCTAGTTTGTTACCCCGCAGATAGGTTTTATTTTTTCTTACATAAAATTTTAAAAGATTGAGTTTATTTATTACAGTAGGTTTCAGGAAGCTTTTGCTTTAAACACCTGTAGAATCACTGCAGCTTTTAAAGTGTGTATATACAGGAAAGGTCATCGTCTTTAACAGAAATTAGTAATGGAATAAATAATTCTTCCTAGAAGAATTTTACGTATTTACCTTGTAGAACTGTATTTCCTATGTTTCATATGGTTTAAATATTGTGGAATATGTAGATTGTGTTTAGATTACACTGTGTATTAATTTTATTAGAGGGATGCTTGTCATCTCTCTTAATAGAAAGTAATTGCTGAAGAAAATGCTTTTTATGCACGCATGATCATTTACTCTTGCACATTTACACAGCGGAAAGAGAAAGTGAGCTATTAATCTATCTTGTACATTGCATGCTCAAAAGAGAGGGCTATTCCTTGCTTTTATCCAATTGTAAAAAAGAAAGGGTAAGTAGTAGTTCATTAAATGAACTTTGAAATCCTGACACTGCTGACATTGCATGGAAATTCAGCTGAGTGTTTGAAGAAGTCTGTTAGTCCCTGTTAGTCTCTCATTCTATTAGTTAGATCTATTTGTTCTTAATATTTTTAATGTATTTTAATTGCATGAGCTATAAATTATTCTATCATGTATTGGGAAGAATTACTTATAGTTGATTATTTGGCAGTACTACACAGCAATAGCTGTAAAAGAAGTTTATTTAATTCCCAAAGTGAGGTAGGGAATGCTCATTAGATATCACTAATTTTAATAGTTTTATTATTAATATATTAAGAGAAAAACATGTTAGAATACATGGGTCTATACAAATGTTATATTCTTGAGGGAAGCGTATTAATGTAGCTTGTTAGACTTTTCTTTCAAGCATCCTGTTGAAGTATTGTAATTTTTCTCTTAATGTTTTAGCAGTTATTCAAGGGAATTTTATGATCAATATGCTCAAAGCCAAGAAAAATCTGTGGTCAATAAAATGCAACAGAAATATTGGAAAACAAAACAAACGCTTATAAAAGTCACAGGAAAAAAGGAAGATGAACATGTTGTGGCTTCAGATGCAGACCTAGATGCAAAACTTGAGGTTTGTAATGTCTATGTAATCCGTGTTCTGCAACTGCTAATCTTATCAGTGTTTTCATTTCTGTCAAGCATCAATGTTTTGTGTATATATATATATACACACACATATATATATATACACATACATATATATATATACACACACATATGTATATGTTATTTAGTAATTCTGACTTACCATCTTTTGAGCATCTATCAGTTTAAAAACATTATTTTATTAAAAATAAACTCGAAATCTATGTTATATACAGATGAGATTCTTTTATAAAATGCCACTATGCAAAGCTTTTCGAAGCCTGTGTGCAGATCAGTTTTCAACATGTTGTCCAAAGGCAGCTTCTGAAAACATATAAAAGGGTAACCCATAGAAGAATCTTACTGTGTGATTAATCCAGTTCTACTGTCAATCGCCAACCTCACTGTAAAAATAGTGTCTAGTTAAGTTTTATCAGTACATGAAGATATATATTTTAAATTACTGTATATTTTTGCAGTCATGGATGGTTGTTGACTTACTTTTGTCAAATTTATACATGTTTTAGCTGATATCCAAGTAGCTGTTAAACCACAAGATTTTTTTTTTCTTTAATCTCTGATAGTGATTAGTTGCAACAGGATGGTTCCAGCTTTGTGGTCTTTATGATTAGGTATGTCATGTGTGTTGATGTAAAACAAGTTGGAGGAACAGAAACAGTACTTTAAAAGCATATCCTTGAGTTCCTTCCATGCTGTTTGTATTGCAGATTCATCAGTAAGGATGCTTTGTTAGCTCAGGTGGGATTGAAAAGGGAAATGTGTTTACCAGCTAGAAAAGGACAAATGGTTTCACTTGGACAACTTCATCACTGCAAGTCATGCTCTCAATTTAAAAGACAAGGCCCATGTAAATGTGAAGGAGGTCAAGCAGATGCAAAGGATGACAGGTTCTGTGCCAGCAGCCCATTTTTGCTTATATTCGTGTAGTTCTTGAAGTAGTGGAGTTCAGGTTTAAGTTACAGATAGGAGATTTTAGAGGAATTTCTCTGAGTCTCTGACTCTCTGACTATCTCTGGAAAAAATCTCCAAAGATAGTCAAGACTGTTTTTTTTGTTTTTTTTGACTTTGAAAACAACTACTTTATAAATTTGATCACAGAACATCAGGGTAGAATTGTGCCAGTAAAAAGTCCGGTTAAAATCAGTTAACTTTCTCTGTTGACATACCCATCTGTAAAGCTATTACACACTACTTCGTGGACTTAAAAATCTAGTATGCGTAATACCGTTTAACACGTTTCAGTGAAATTCTTCATAGACATTTTGAAAGCTTTTTTTTCTGGTGGATGTTGCTTTGAAACAGTTTTGTAAATATATACATATATATATATATATATATTCCAAAGATATCAGTAAAAATAGGAAAAAAATACTATCTGATCAACTGTCAGCTGTTTGGAATAAATATTTCTGTCTTTACCTTTTGTAGATTTTAGTTGTTCTGTCTGTAGTCTTGATAGAGAAGCACAATTGATAAGGAAAAAAAGCCTTTTTTTTTTCCAAGCTGGAAAGAATGTTCATTGTTCGAGAAAGAAATAGAGCTCTCTAGTCATTTTTTCCAAAAAACTTAAGCTCTTTCTTGTATTTTAGTATTCAGTGTTTCTTGCCTACACTTACAGGATCTTTTTTTTTGTGCCTATATTGTGTTTCACTTTTAGCTGTTCCACTCAATTCAGAGAACGTGTATGGAGTTGCTGAAAGCAATTGAACTCTATCAAAAGAGGATTTGTTGTAAGTATAATCAACTGTAGTACCTACGAGGAGGTCTATAGTATGGAATCATTTAGTTGGTAAAAAAATAAAAGGAATAATGGGGCACTGCTGCTGCTTCATCCTAGTTAAACTTAATGATAACCTTCATTGCAAACAGTTTTAGAGACAAACCTGCTTATGTGATTCAAGGCCTCCTAGTTCTTCAAAGTTATGTTTGATATTGCACAGTGATAGACAGAAAGAATAATGGAGGAAAAAAAAAGTTTGCTAAGCATTGCTAAGGTTTGTTTGTTTGGCTGGTTGTTTTTCTCTTTTTGTGTCTGTGGTTTTGTGGGGATTTTTGTTTGTTTGTTTGTTTTTTTCTTTTTCCCCTCATTACTTGTTTAGCCTGTCTAAATTCACAAGTGCTTTGGCTTAGAAATTCTACTGTTGTTTTTCATCAGGTTTGACTGAAGAATACAGGGCTTGTTACTGGTTTGACAATTAAGTAATCCACACTATTGCAATGAATTTGATGAATGGCTGTAACAAATGGACAGTCATTAGTGAGAAACAGAAATCTAATTTAGGAAATTTCCAACAGGAGGCTGTATTAAATGAACTCCAGAGGTCGTTTCCAGTCAGTATTTTTGAATTCTCTGTTGCTGTGCTCTGAGGCCAGGAAAAGAAGATCAACTTTGCTGGAGACATCTTATTCATTTTATTTTCTCTTGTTTAATGTTATACCTGTTTTCTCTATTCTTCTTGTCCAAAGAAGCAAATCAGAGATAATGTTTCTGTAAGAGACAGACAATTTGGAAGACTAATATATGAGGTCAAAATGAGGATTTATGTGAGGATGCAAGGTCTTGATGAGCCAGGGTTCCCATTTGGAAGTATCCAACATCTCAGTGTGTAAATATTTGTCATCCTTTTCTTGTTTAGAAAACCCTTGGTTATAAGTAGGAATATTTCAAATATTTCAAGTAAAAATTAGAAAATGTTTTTTGAAATGTGTAAATATTATGATTATGTAATGATCCTGCAAGCTAATTTAAAATAAATGTTTTAATAATAAATGTTAAAAATAAATGTATTTAACATGAAGAATTAGATTCTTCGTATTAAAAATCACTTTTGTAGTTGAGCATGAAAAAAAGGAGAGCAAGAGATAAGCAAGTGAATGAGTTTTATGTAGCTTAACTCAAAATTGGCTTCCGTGGAAGTGTGCTGAGTTAGGTCAGTTGAGGCAGTCCAGGTGCTACACAAAGAATAAAAAAATAAAAATAAATAAATAAGAATATTCTAATCAGGCCACTCTTTCGCCGCTCTTTACATAATCAAACCAAGCTTATTCTTTTCTTCAGCTAAGAAATAGCATGTTTCTCTAGTTACCTTTCAGCCCTAACGTAACTGTGGTTCTTGTTACAGTATAGCAAATCTATCCACAGATGTCTCAAGTGAATCTGATCCTGTCTCATAAATGCAGGAATTCATTGAAATTACTTAATTTTTGCTGTGCTACTTGGATTTGGAGTTGCTTATCATATTTGATGTTAGGCTAGTGTTAAAGTGTTTGAGGCCTGTTAAATCACATGTTGACCACTCATTTATTTTTATTAGTCCTGTCTCAGGAAGAAAATGAATTGGGAAAATTTCTTCGATCACAGGGTTCTCAGGATAAAACAAGAGCAGGAAAAATGATGCAAGCCACTGGGAAGGCCCTCTGCTTTTCTTCTCAGCAAAGGTACATATGTCCCATTCACAAACTACGGGGGATAACGGTGGTTGATTCTCTGTCACCATGTTTCATATTGCCATTCTAAATGTATGAAGAACCAAATGATACAAAAATTGTCATTGACCAAAACTGCTGTCGTGCTGGCAAGGCTGCTGGCTTGCTCTTTGCCTTTTGGCACACAGCCCTGCTATACTGTGCCCAGCAGGTCCCCCCCGCACGCTTCTGCAGCTCTGAAATTGCAGAGCTGCACATGTGTGATCTGCATGGCTGCTCTAGCAGTGAGATTGTGAAGAAGCCGATATCAACTCCCTATTTTCTGCTTGGCGACCTTCTCACTCTGCAGAGAAATACTAGAACAGGCCTTCTGTGGAGGTGTCTGTGCCCTGGGAGGCCAGGGAGATGGGTAAAAGAAAGCCGCCTTCGCTGTAATGTCATATCCCAAAGGGACAGTGGCCATTTTTTGCTTTACCTTACTCCATGAAGTCCCCCAGAAAAATAGCCTAGATTCCCACTTTGCTCGGGTATATTGGGTAGGAGCAGCTCAGTAAAAGGTAAGAGGTAAGGGATGGAGGGAGGCAGGCATGTACATAAACATTGCTTTTGCCCAGAACCATTAAGATCTCACTGAACCTGTGTTTGAGGCGTTCAAAAGAATGGTACTTGGTGGTATTGTCAAATGTTGTTATGCTTCCCCGCCCCCCACCTCTTGGTACTTTGAAAGTCTGAAATTCTTTATCATTCACAAGGCAAAATACTGTTCCATCACATGAGAAATTGTGGATAAAATTCTGTGCTCTTGCTGGATTTTTTGGTGCTTTTAATTATTGCAGTGAAATGTTCCAGCTTTAGCTTAACAGTGCAGCTGTTTGGCTCAAAATAAAACATCACACACTGAGCACTGTGCCTTTCATATGTTTATTTTGGGCTAGAGTTTGGTCATTAGCACACCCTGTAAGAGCCCTGAGTGGGATCTTTGAAACACACATAAGGCACCTTGGAGCAAAAGCCTTAACGATTTGCCTCTTAAAAAGCTTAACTGTTTATAGAAATCCCACTATAAGACATGTCCACATAAACTTAAATTTCCTTTGAATGGCTGACTAGCCGCTTGTAGAATGCAGGGGAAAAAAATGTGTACTGCACCCCAGAAAGCCACAATAAAAACTGCATGTTTAAATATTACTTGATGCATGTTTTTTTTCCAGGCATCTTTTGAAGTAAACTTCCATCTCTTTGAGCCATCCTCATCTTACATTCAAGACTGTTCTTATTTGTGGTGTTTGCCAGTAGGTTGCTTAGTAGCTGGAGGTCAAAAAGACTTAATTTGCTGGCTATTTGGAGCTGAAATTAGAAATTCTGTTATGCTTCAGAAGTCCTGAATTAGCAAATTAAACTAGCTTTACACCAGTGTTGAGCTAACTGAAACCATCCCAGTGCCGACAGGGAAGCAAAAGCGGCCTGAGGAAACAGCGAAAGTTGAAGTAATCCTGTCTCATTCGGATCTCGGGAAGACAACAGTGTCCCCTACTGCTTCTCCAAAGTGCACTGCCTGGAGCAAGCACACAAGAAAAAGGCTAAAACCTTCCAAAAGATAAATGGCTTTCTAAAAAATGGTTAGGATTCCTTTAAAATATATATATATATATATATATATATCTGCTTGACAGATGACTTGAAAATTTATATGTACATTTGAAGATTAAAAGGCTAATGGAAGTGCATTTTTGGAGGCTTAGCATGGCAATCCTGAGGCATATGTGCTATGTATCCAGTAATAAGTTCTTAGGTACATTTTTAGAGTTAAATGAAACTTGCAAAAAGAGCTTTTAATAGCATGTGTATAAGCACTTTAGCTAACTACAATATGCATGCATATATTTTTCACTCAAATATGTGAAAGGAATAGTGAAAAATCACTGCTAAAATATGCAGGTTGCGTACACAATATGCATGCAAAAATTAACATGTTCTTAGGTGCCTCCAGTGAAGTTGTAGGATTGTGTAGAAAATATAGTAGTAATGGAGGTAATTCTTTTGAGTATGTGCTGCTGCTGATTCTCCTTGCTAGCAGTGTGGCGGTAATTGTGTTATTTGTCTGCCTTTGTGGATTATTTTTTTAACTCGTTCTTCTCCTTTCTTTCATTCCCTCATGCCTTCCCCTAGATTAGCACTGCGTACTCCTTTGAGTAGATTGTATCAGGAAGTGGAGACTTTCAGATATAGGGCCATCTCGGACACGTGGCTGACTGTAAACCGAATGGAACAGTATCGGACTGAGTACAGAGGAGCACTGCTTTGGATGAAGGATGTGTCTCAGGAGCTGGATCCCGATCTCTTTAAGCAGATGGAAAAGTTCAGGAAGGTATGAAGTATCCATAGTTTGCTAGAAAGGATGCCTGATGAATGTCAGTGGAGCATGATTTTGATTCTTCTGAGCAAGACATAATTCAGCAGCACTAATGATGCTATTTATCATAAATAATCTTTTCCATGTGACAAAACTCCAGTTAATCTGATATTGAATACAATGTTCTTCACAGAAGAGGGGTCTGTAAGGATGTGGTAGGAAGAAATAGCATTTTTCAGTAGTTGATTCAGCTTCAATTTACATTTTGATAATTCAAATAATACATATTTTTAAAGAAGGTTATCAAATTCTAAATACTTGTCTGTGGTGACTGAATGACTAATGGAGGAAGGTATATCCACTCCCAGCAGGGGAAGAGAAAATGGATTTTTAACTAAAGTAAATCCACACAGACTAACAGAAGTCTCCTGCTAAATCTCTGGTTGGACTACTGCTTCTTTAAACTGACTGCTGTAGGTTTTGGCGGGGGGGAGTTGTAGAGTTAGAATTTGCTTTAACATCCTTGTGCTTTTCAGCATGACTCTTGTGCGACTAGCAACAGCAAAACTGTTAAGCATGCACTCTCCATAAATCACATTCATTTAGTGGAACTCAAGTTTGCTACACTCCTCCCCTCCCCACGGGCTTGCAAAAAATCCCGTGCTGTAGTAGTGTGCAGGTTTGCTACCAGGTGTGAGCACAGGGGTTGGCTGGCTGCCCCTGGCCCCTGTCCTGGTTCGGGAATGCTGAGGAGGCTGTCGCGGTTGTTAGTGCAGCTCCATAGCTGATTTTGTCAAACACTGTAATGGTCATAGTTTGCTGTTTATACATCTAGGCTGCCGTGAGTTAGAATTGTAGGCATAACATGGTGGCTTGTGCTTGGAGTAAATGCAGTAAGAGCTTTTACAGAAGCTATGTGATAACCTGAAGATAACCAGAAGGTGTGTTAGGGAGTGTGCACACACATTCCTGCGTATATGCATGGCCTTAATATGGGGGCAGTGCAAAACAGAATCCTCTTCACTGGTGGCCTAAGCACTTTTCTTTTCTGTGACTAAAAGTATTTGGAGATGAGAGATACTTAAACTGTGATTTTAAAAACTTGAATAAACCATCCTGGTCAGGAGGAGCTGGCATGTATCTACACTATGTTATTATTTGTAAACTGAAACTTGGACAATAGCAATTAAGAAAGGGGTGGGACAGATAAAAACTCAAGCTAGTCATCTAATCTTTATTTAATGCTTGCTTCACTACAGGATATTCGTATACATCTTGTGGCACCAGACTTGTATTTTATTGTGCCTTGTGGGAAATGTTTATAGTGGCAAGTTCTTGCAGGTAAAATAATTGGTATGGCCTTGGCCTCAGCCAGTTGCTAATGTGAAATGTTTGATTTATTAGAAAAACACTTAAAATGGAATGTTTGAACGAATAAAGCAGTACTGGTAATGGTTTTGAAAAACTGATTTATAGCTTTCTTGCAAAACAAATGCTATGGAAGATATAAATTGTCTAAATGGCAAAGTAATTAAAGTAATGTATGTTTTGTGTGGTGAGCTGCTGTAGTTAAGAAGTTACTTGTGAAATTTCAGCCATCTTAGGCTGCTGTACTTCAAGGTCTGCAAAAGGAAGACTTTTCAAAAGCTCTCAGAACACTTTTAGCAGTATTTAAGAGAATTTTCCCTTTTTTATCATGTAAGCATTTTGAAATACTTCTAATATAAAGTGAGCTAAGTTCTGAGGTAAAGAAACAATGAGTGTGTTAGATGCAAGGGGATTGTGAAATTGTGTAGCATTGCCTCAAGTAGCTTTAGAAAAAGCCATACAGGGGGAAGGTCTTTGAACCTTTTCTTTCCTTTGACTAGTTGTCAACCAAAAACCTTTTAGATCCATTGTAATGCAAAAAGCAAATGCAAAATGCAAAAAGCTCTAGATATTGCAGCCAACAAAGTAAAGAAATGGTTTGGGGATCAACTGTCCTACACATCCCTGCTGTGCAACAGGTATGTCAAACTAGTGTGAAGGTGTTAACAGTAGCAGAAAACAAATTAATTCTTTTTTCATTTTAGAAAAAAACCTTGCAAAAATAAAATCCTAAAGCATAAGGTATTTGGATAGATGCTATGAACCAAAACATAGTAGCTAGTTTGTAGTCCTTTGTGAATGTAGTAGACAAACATGACTAGTGGTGGATACTTCATTTCCAAATAATTAAGGGAGATGAGTTATTTGTGTTGTCTTTTTGTTCTACTCTTGCTTGCAGATCTTAATTCTGCCATAGTGTGGCAGTGTTATGCTGGGCTTTCAAGGCTAATTTTGTATCTATAACACAGTCATGTTAGTTTTGTTTTGAGAAAGATACAATTACAGATGTTGAGTTTTTCTTTCTAAAACACTCCATCACCAAAAAAAGAGTGTGTTTGAGCTATGCATCTAGCCATACACCAGCAAGCATTTAATGCAGCTAAGAGAAAGCCTGACAGCACTTGGGGGGAAAATTGCTCTCTTCAGACTTCTAATTGTAAAAATCTGAAGTATTTACCTTACTTTACTAGACATCTTTTTACTTCTCAAGTAAACAGTTCTGTTTTACTGATCTTTAATGCAACTTATGCATTAGCAGTATTTATTTCACGTGGTTATAGGAATGTTTTTCAAGTGTGTAGCCTTTTATAATCCTAAGTATATCATTATGTATACAGATACAGAACTTGCTTTTGGAGACCAAAGTTAAATCAATCCAGATGGCTTTTTCATGCCTTCCCTCGAAGTAGCTCAGGGTAAAAGATCAATAGTTGGGTCTGTATTTCCAGAGCTGATAAAATCTGAGTTAAAACATAGGCATTTTTGTAGTTCTCTTTCAAAACAATGAGGTACTTGAGACAAGTTTCTACTGCTGCTTTCAAAGCATCAGTGAAAATATGCTAGATCTAACAGTATTGACACTTCCAAAGTGTTACAGTGCTTTTTAGCAATAATTGCAGAACAACTTTTTTTCTTGTGTTTTCAAGATATGCATAGGATTGTAATTACTTGAGTCAAACCAAGCAAGGTTTGATTCTTCACTACTGATCATGTTTTTAAGGCTCTTAAATCCAGGCTATTTTATCTTCTGGTGACTGTATACTATAGCACAAGCTCTGCTGTGGTGTAATAAAAATTCAGACCAAATGGCACAATTTCTGATGGCCCCTGCCATGTCCTTCCCACAGTTTTGAAGAAAAGAGGTAAGTTTTTCCATATGTTTTCTGGTAAGGGACATGCCAGTATGTTATGCCACCAAGGCAACAGCCTCCCTTGAGCACCAACAGCAACACAAAAGAGCTCTACTCTTCAATTTTACATAATTAAGATGTCTCTAATTCGAATACAGTGAATTTAGACATTCTCATTGAACTTGGATGTTACAGTTTCTCCCATAATTTGAGTTTTTTAGCTAATTTTTTGCCTGTTATGCTGACCTTTAGGCAAACAGTAAGAAAAATTATATCTGTTGCAGGATCATACTACACATATAGAGCAAATTAATCCTTTCTGTATTTGTTTTTTGCCTCCCTTTTCCTTTTGCTCCTCTGCTTCCCCTTCATTTGAGAAACTTAGAGGCTTGACAATGAGTTGTCTGGGAGCAGTTTATCTCGGTTTTTCCTACGTGTAGTACTCTTTGTACTGGAATGCACTCACAGGACATTTTAAAGGTAAGTCTGGGATGAGAAAGGAAAAAGCAGGGAAAAAAATCAACAGGAAATTCATAACAAGAGCTAAAGCTTGTTTTTGTAAATATACTAGTGTAGGGAGTAGCTGATCCATGCAAGTTCTCTGTTAAATGTATTTTAAGAAAAAGTTAGAGCTTGTGTGTACTATTGGGGAATAATGAGGTGCTAAATACATCAGTTGATTAAAAGGTCAGCAGAGGAACCTTGAAGTAAAGATATTTAGTATGAAGAACTTGGCAAGCAGGGATAAGTTACATCTGCCACAGGTTTTCAGAGAAGGCTGAGGAGGCTGCGGTCCCCCCTGTCTCATGGGATGGTGGAGAGGCTGCACCGCGTTATCCGTCACCTGCTACTCTCCTCCCACCCACAACTCCGTGGTGGCCACCGCAACAGCCCCACAGAGCTGAAGGTGCTGTTCAAACACACTGGCGGGTTTCTTCGTTAAGTCTGAAAACTCATGGATCCGAGGAAATGCAAAAACACTAAAGAGAGAGAAGAAACAAAGACAATGCTGATCTCTGTAGTCAGAACAGGCATGGCAGTTACTCTTCAACCTAATTTCAGTTCCTGGTAAAATAGTGAAGAAATTTATTTGAAAGAGAGAAAAATTTGAAGAGAATACTCTTCAAAATGTAGAGTAGTAGATAGCATAGGTTTATAAATAACAATATAGAATAGCATTGCTTTTTAAAATTTATTAAATTAGTAGGAAAAATGCACAAAACACAGTAAATCTGGATTGTACAGAAGTGTTTGTTGCAGTTCCTAATGAAAGATTACTGGAAAAACAATTTTATATTGGCTAGAATAATAAGTGCTCTCAGGAATTTAGAGAACTGGCTGTGGAACTCTAAACAAAGTTTCAGAGAATCATAGAAAATAAGGATGGAAAATACCTTCAAGATCAACTAAACTATTTTTGTGCCAGGACAAAAATGTGCATTTTTAATATCTTTTCCAAGTGTTTTGGTGCATCAAATAAATGGAATTCTATTGAGAATGACACTTGTGGAAGTTTTGTGAAGTTTGGTGTTGTCCTAGTTTTATTAAAAAGCTTAACCAAAAAAAGATACTGATGCTAATTACATCTGCAGATGGTATAGAGCAGGGAAGTTTGGGGTTTTTCTTTTTTGGTTTTCCAACATCTTAAAGAAAAATGTCTGTGGCCTTTGCAGTCACAGTGGTGTAATCAATATGCTTCTAGCTGCCATAGTTACAAATAGCCTTGTATGTGATTCATGTGTACAGCCAGCTGTGTTATTCACCGATTACCAGCTTTGGTTTAAAAAAAAAATGTGG